CCCCAAAACCCCAAAACCCCAAGATTTGAATGTAAAAACATAATTCAAAGTAAATGAATTAAATTAAAATTATTACTAATCAATGGATAATTCATCAGCTAAGTTGCATATTCTGGAATATCTAACCTTTAGTGAGGCCATTGCACTCTAGTAACTAAATTAAAACTTTTACTGCAGAATTTTACCTAAATTTTTCTTTGCAATTATTATTGAAAGACCTAGGCTTATAATATATAATAAGGCTCTTTGATTAATATACTATTATGAGATAAACCCTCGAAAGTCAATTGATGAAATGAAAAAAAATTTATAAACTTGGTGATACATGTCTATTAGTCCAAAAGAATTGCCTGATTTTTCAAGCTTTGTATGTCTAGACTCTAGAAATGCACTTTTTATTGGAGGATAAAAAGCTAAATTAGCAAGTGATGATGAAGAACTAGGTTTGAACACCATAATTCATGTAGATCTTTTGAAAATATAAGTTACATATTTATAAGAGAACCTAGCATATCCTAGACTAAAAATTAAATCGATTCATTGCAAAAATTAGAGCAAAATATATGTTATTGGGGGTTATCATAATTAAGTACAAATGTCAAACAAGGTTGAGATGTTAGATATAAGAAGATTAAATAATAAAGAAAAATCATTAACTGTTAGGACAGTATCATCCCTAAACTAACCAAGAGCAGGTTTTGGGGTTTGTTCAATTAAGGATCGTTACCTTTATGTATTTGGTGGCTATTCAATTAAATCTCTAAGATAAAGTGGAGCCTAGCTAGATACCCTATTCCCTGTTAATACTATAGAAAGACTTGAAACAACTACAGAATTACAGGCTCAATAAAAATGGTCAAAAATAGATATAAATGGCAATTATAATTGCAGCTTGATTAATAACATGATGTAATTTAAAGTATGCCAATTTACACATTAAAGAGAGGAAAGAGTGTTAATACTAGGAGGGGAAAATTTCACTGAAGGCTAAATAAGCAATCAAATTCTTGAAATAAAGATTAAGGAGCCTAACGGTATCTTTGAGGAGATATCCTTTGAGAAATCAGAGCTATAGATAAGTAGTGACACTATATTTTAATAGGGTTTTATACAAACCATCAAAATTGACAATTATCTGTATATGATGACTGGATATAGGCATATTGAAGCTTTTGATCTAAATACAAGTAAGAACAACATTGTTTGTTGATAAATATTTCTAATGAAGGCAATTGTATATTTTTAATGTGATTATTTAAGTTTTTTATGGACTTTTTATTTGTTAAAATTGAACAATTTATTAACCATGGGGTTTTGGGGTTTTGGGG